TAGCACGACCTTTTCTTTGCTGCCCACAGTCACCCCACCCCTCCTCTGTCAGGAGACTTCCCTTCTATTCTTGTGGCTATGATAAAATACTCAGACCAAAGCAACTTAAGGGAGAAAGGGTTCACGGTTCAAGAGTGTAGTCCATCCTGGTGGGGCATCAAGGAGGCAAGACCTGAAGCAGTTGCCCACATCACATCTACAAGCAGGAACATAGAGCAGTGAATGGCAGTGCTCAGCCTTCTCTCTCAATCCATAGCCCAAGAATCTGCCGAGGGCATAGTCCTGCCAATAGTCAGGGTGAGTTTCCCCACATCAGATAATAATCAAGACAGGGGCTGGAAAGGTGGCTCAGCAGTTAAGAGCCCTGGATGCTCTTACAGAGGACCCGGGTTCGGTTCCCAGCACCCACATGGAGGCTCACAACCATCTGTTACTCCAATTCTAGCGATCCAACACCTTCTTCTGACCTCCGTGCATGAGTGCACTCATACACAAATGCAGGCAATGCACCCATTTGAGTGTTGTGCAGTGCCTGCAGAGGACAGAAGACCCGGGTCTTCTGCAAGAACAACCAGTGTTCTTAACCGCTGAGCCATCTCTGCAGTCCCGATAAATAAGATATTTTAAAATAAACAAAATTATCCCCCAGAGGCATGGGTACAGCCTTGTCTCCTGGGTGACTCTAGATTCAGTTGAGTCGTCAATTGTCACTAAACATCACAGTGGGCCACCTGAGATTTGTCGTCCCCAATTGGGGATGTAAAAATAAAAGAACAAATAGAATAAAACAAAGGCCTATGACCCTTTGTGTACTAGAGAAAAACCCTGACTCTAGAAGTTAATATAATTATACTGTCAAAGTTGCATTTAAATATTGGATTGGACACAGTGTGTGTCTCTGTATAGGATTCCTGTTTTAAACCTCACCCGCCCACTGCTCAGGGATCACTGCAGAAGAGGAGCAGAAAGACTGTACGAGCCAGGGGTGGTGAATGACCACAGGGAAACAGTTTTCCAGGCTTCGGGGAACTTGCTCATATAAACTTACAGCAGTGGTAACAGCGTGTGCAAGACCCACGTAAACTCAAACCAGACAAAAGTCCAGTATAGAACTGGGGAAATGGGTAAGAAGCCCCAATCTTAACTGAGGAACTATTGGCAGCTGATCACTGCTGGGTGAGGGGGAGTTAGTCTTCTTTAAGGGAGAGACTCTAGATAGGTTGACCAGGCTCCAGTGGATGAACTCACACCGAGGGACATCTAGGGACACAAACTTGACTCAATAGGCCTTAACATACAAGACAGGAAATCAGTGGGTGGGCTATGGAGGGCAGTAGGGGAGGGCATCTAAATATGACTGAGATACATTGCACAAAACTTCAATAAAAGTATATATTGAAAAATATTTCTTAATTGGATTCAGAGCACAACGAGTGAGGGTGATTCCACGCAGGATAACTAAGGTCCAGTCCTGGGAAATCCAGGTCTTTTTCAAGGTCTGAGCTCCTGGCTTTCCTGTCTTTATAGCAGCACCAGGTTTCCTGGGAGATCCTGGGAGATAATGGAATGCAAATCTCAGCTCCATAAATGCAAGTGTCCAGAGACACTAAGAATTGTTTTTGTGACTTTAGACAAGGGATTTAGCTTTGCCGTGCATCACTGTAGTCACCCTAAAATGGCATTTTAAAAGGGAAACTACTTGAAGATCATTTGAAGATGGCAGGAGCTAGCAGATCTGGAACAAGCTTAGTGTGTTGAAAGTGTTCGATGAACTGGTCACTGTTAGAGTGTTCGCTGTCACATCATTCTCGTCACGAGTACCAGCAGACTTCCCGAGAATGGCACAGCAATACCAGGGTCTACTCTATGTGCACTAAAACATTGTGTGGGACAAGAGGCTCAATCTGGGAAAATAAAAAGCAAAGGAATTACAAAGAACCCAACCAGGCTCTAGTGCTGACGTAGAAGGGCTGTTTTAGTCACTCAAGAACTACTAATCTTTATTCTAATACATGCATAAGCTAAGTCATTTGCATAAGCTAAGAGGTCATTATCTACCTCTTTGAGGTCAAATAGACACCAATAGAATGTAACCCCCTTCTGTAAACAAACATGGGTAGTAGGTTTATATTCAGAGAAACGTAACCAAGTCTGTGCCATTCTGGCATTTTATCTTAGCAGATTATTACATCCTCAGTGTCTTTTCTATGTGACCTTTGAACAAGTACATCTTATAGTGCATATATTATAAATTTTTAAAGAAAAGGCACACTGGTTTTCTGTAACAAAGCGGTTTATACACCTGGGGTGTAAATCTCTGGAAACTGATACTTCAGAAGAATTTGCAGAACAGTGTGGGGTATACACACACAGGGAACTCAACCTTAATGAAAACATGAATTCTCTTTTGCTCGAAAAAAAAGTTAAGCAATTCACATTTGTCCTGATACTGTGTGCTTAATAATGTCACTGGCAAGTGGAGAAATACATGAGACTTAAAGTAGGAATATATTTTCACCGAAGTATTTGAGCTACCCACATTAATTTTTGGTTCATTTTTCACTCACGGAGGAACAAAAAGCTGTAAAATATCAGTCACCTTGACTTTCAGTTCTAAAAGGTCTCAGGTAAATAAACACATGGGCAAAGCACAATCACCAGCTGATGGTTAGGTTTCCGGAAATCTCATTCTAAATGCAAGCATAATTATCGTATGGGTCCCGAGTCCATTGTCAAATAAAAGAAGAAAATATTGACGTCTCCTTGAGTCCCTCACAAGAGCAACCGGAGAGAAGACCATGATTCAGCCATGACTTGAACGGCTCAGAACAGAGCCATCTGGGGAAGCATTCAATGTGTACTTCCAAAAGGAATGTAACCTTATATCACCTTTCTGTCCTGGGCTCAAGGCTCAGGATACACAGTATATATGTCTGCAAACACACCAGGAGCTAATGCTGTAAGACTCTGGATTCACATGAACACACTGCAGACAGGACTGGAAAACCTGCTGCGAAGTGGAAAGTATTACTAGAAAAACTGAAACCTCAGTGAGATTTCATGTAATCCAGACAGCAAGTGAACGCAGAGACTGTCTTCAGAGAGAATGTTCACGGCCATGTTAACTATGCGGGAGTCACCTGGCCTCCTTAGACACCCTTCCATTTCATCCTGCCTGGTGTCCAGAGAGAATGTTCACAGCCATGTTAACTATGCGGGAGTCACCTGGCCTCCTTAGACACCCTTCCATTTCATCCTGCCTGGTGTCCAGAGAGAATGTTCACAGCCATGTTAACTATGCAGGAGTCACCTGGCCTCCTTAGACACCCTTCCATTTCATCCTGCCTGGTGTCCAGAAAATAAGCAGATATTGGAAAATGGCATCTGCTTATTACTCAACTGTTTTCCAGTATTTTTGGTGACAGGAAGTATGTGTTACCAAATTCTTCAGAATTACATCGTACAGACACTGCACCAACCAAAACTGATTCATCAAGATCAGACTCTACATAGTACAGACCAGTCAAGTCAAGGTTTTAATGTCACTAACTTTCCAAATGCAGTTAAATAGTCAAAGTATTTCATTTGTTTATAACTTTGGCTTGAATTGGAGATCAATTTAGTATAGAATCATTTCTGATCCTTTTCATTCCTGTTTGAAGTTGTAAACTAGAAAGTGTCCAACATCCAGTGTTTAAAATGCTACGGCAAAGTTCGAAAACTTAGGAAGGATTTTCTGTGTGGAGTCAGGGGACGCACGAGGAGATGACGTGAAGAGGAAAAGACGGTGGACAGGTCTCAGGCACTCAGGAACGTGTCTTTACCATCTCAAGGCTCACGAAGCTTACCCTCTTCCCTAGTTCTCCTGTGGGAAGGACTGCTGGGACGCCGCCTCAGCTTGCTTATGAGGTTTACTAGGTCTTGGGCTCATCTTGTAATCTAAATATATAGCTTTAATCCTCCAGGACCCTTCTTTGCCCTTGACATAGGAGAGAGAGAGAGAGAGAGAGAGAGAGAGAGAGAGAGAGAGAGAGAGAGAGACAGAGAGATTGTAAAAATACTAAGTGCTGCAAACTACATATTCGTTGGAAGCAATGGATTATCCCATTTGTGTCAAAAACAGGATTAGACTGATAACATCTATTTGTGATTGAGTGTGTTGTCCTAGGTCCAAAACAAATTCCCTGATAAGACAAATTCTGTCTTTATTTCACTATTTCTTATGGATGTATAGATTCAATAAAGAGAGAGGAAGGCCTTTGTTCAAGAGCACAGTTCTGGGAGAAACGTGAAGGAACAAGTTCTCAGGACAGTTCGGGCCCCACCCTTGCTTTTAATGGATGCCAGGCTGTCTTTATTCAGACATCGCTGCAATGTGGCCTGGCACCACTGCATCCTGCCTGGATCATTGACCTCTGATTAGACGCTTCTCATTCCCATTCTGCAGACCTCAGCTCAAATGTCACCTTCCCAGCCAAGCTCCTCAGACCACCCCGGAGAACTCTCATCACACTCTTCCCTCTCGGGTGAGCTACGCAAAGGCAGCCACAGTTTTAGCACTCATTTGTTTCCTGTTATCTATCAGATCATTGATTTATCATTTGCTTCTTTGTTTTCTTCTGATTCCCTTGATTAAAAATGTGAAGTCTTTGAGGGCAGGCATTGGCCATTGTTAATTATTTCCATATTTTTCATATTTGACTGACACCTGCCATATATATATATATATATATATATATATATATATATATATACTATTCATATATACACCACCATACAAAT